ATTGCGGAAATTATTTCACTCAAATAAATGTCATTTCGTTGCAATTGCGCGATTTCTGCCAAACTTTTAGTCTGGATAGTTAATAACGGGATTTCATAAGCTTCGACATCATTTTCGTTAGGATTTGAAATCGGATTTCGTGACAAAGAGTCAGCATCTGTATGTTGTTTACCGCTTTTATGACAAATTTGATAATTAAAATCCTGTAACCTAATTGCCCATCGTGCTAGACGACCGGAAGGGTCCTTATTTTTATGTAACCAGCAAAGAGCATGGTGATCAACTATTATTTTAAATTCTTTTCCCCATAAATAATGCCTAAACGTTGTGACTGCATAGACAACAGCCAAACATTCTTTTTCGGTAGTATTCCATTTCATCTCTAAATCAGATAGTCTTCGGGATGCGTACGCCACTGGATGCGTACCTGTATCATCAGTTTGTAAAATAATGGCTCCTATACCGTAACCACTAGCATCTGTATGAATTTCAATAGGCAATTCGTCCTTGAAATGCCTGAGTACCGGTGCATTTACTAAAAAATTTTTTAAATCTTGAAATGCTTTTTGATGTTCTTCTTTCCAAGAAAAGACAATATTTTTTCGTGTTAATAACGTTAAAGGCCTAGCGATATTCGCAAATGATTTAACAAATTTCCGATAGTAATTGGCTAATCCCAAAAACGATTGAACATCCTTTACATTTTTTGGAACAGGAAATTTTGACACTGCTAAAATTTTTTCATTATCAGGTGATAAACCTGCAGCACTTACAATGTGACCTAGAATTTTAACTTGTTGTTGACCGAAATGACATTTGGTGGGCTTTAATTTGATGTTGGCTTGCCTAAACCTATCTAAGACCAATTGAAGTTTTTGGAGATGGTCGTCAAAGTCGTGACCTTTGACAATGACGTCATCAAGGTATACCAAACACGTATTCCATTTCAACCCTGCCAAAACCTGATCCATACAACGAGAAAAACAAGAAGGGCTACTTGCTAATCCAAAAGGTAAGACATTAAATTCATACAACCCTTCGGGTACTATAAATGCTGTTTTTTCTTTATTTTTTTCATTTAATTTAATTTGCCAATAGCCTGAGAAACAGTCCAATGTACTAAACCATTTTGAACCATCTAACGCCGATAACAAATCATCTATTATTGGTAACGGATACCGATCTAACTGAATTACTTGATTTAATTTCCGATAATCTACACAGAATCGCCAATCACCTGTTTTCTTCTTAACCAAAACTACCGGTGACGCCCACGAACTATATGATCTCCGTATTATGTTCGCGGCTAACATTTCTTCGATTTGTTTATTTATAATCTCGCGTTCTTTCATTGACACACGATACGGCACCTGATGAATTGGATTTGCATTTCCCGTATCTATTTTTTGTACACATACATTAGTTTGGCCTAACTCGAAATTATTCGTGGCAAAAACGTCCCTATAATTATACAATAATTCATAAATTTTGGTTTGCTCTACATCACTCAATTCTGTATTCAGATTCAAACCTAAGCTCGTCAAACTCTCGAGGTCCTTAGAAACTTCATGAAAAAGAACAACAGTATCTTGTACCACCGTGCAGAAAACTTTTCCTTCCTGTCTACAAACAGAAGGTACCTCAAAAATTTCATCCTGCCCAAACACAGGGGATCCTGTACTAACTTTATTTTCATCCTGCCCGAACACAGGGGATCCTGTGCTAACTTCTTTTTCATCCTGCCCGAACACAGGGGATCCTGTACTAACTTCTTTTTCATCCTGCCCGAACACAGGGGATCCTGTACTAACTTTATTTTCCTGTATAAATGCAGGAAATTCTGAATTTACCACCTTTTTACCCAATACACCACCATTATTCACCCTCGTTACTGACGGAAGTGCGTGAGGACTAATGCTACCTATACACGTTCCTTCAAAAATTATTATACCTACCCTCGTAGTATTTGTTACATAAATTATTGGCATTTCTGTTACTAAATGGGCTATCTTACACCCTCTATTCTTAAAAAAATCGACACAAGGTTCAAACTGTAGGTTAATTCCTAGTGCCGTGTTAATTTGAACTCTAGTTGTACTCCTTGGAGGTAAACTAACTTCTTTTGTAACTCTAACGAAATTTTCAATAGCCAGGTCATTAAAAATTGCTTCTTGGTTATGATCCGCAAATTTAATACACAAAATTCTATCATTCAAAGCGATTTTAACGGTTTTTGTCAAAAAATTTATGTCTACTTTATGTTTATTATTGAAATCATTTCCCAGAATTATTTTACCTTCGAAATTTTTTATTACAACAAACTGCTGTACCATTTGTTCATTCTCTAATCCAAATTTTACCAAAATAACGCCTAGAATCCATAAAAAATTTCCGCTTGCTGATTTTGCTCCAATATGCGACGTTTTCAAAATTTTATTTTCATCATCTATAAAAGTACTATCAATGAAACTCACGCCTGCGCCGGTATCACAGATAAATTTGTATTTTTGCCCATTTATTGTACCCCAAATTTGAATTGGTTCATAGTCATTATTTTCCTCAAATTGAAAAACTGAATACTCTATAAAATTGTTTTTTCTACAAGTTTGTTTTTTATGACCTAGCTCTAGACAACCATAACATACAGTATTAGACAAGAAATTTTGATATTTGCCATCGCGCCACCCGTTTAGCGGCGCGGTGGTTGGTTTTTTGCGTAACAGTTTTTTGCGTAATGCCCTTGCTTACCACATTGGTAGCAAATTATTTTACCATCAGGAGTTCAACCTCCTGACTTCTGAAAATTCGAATTATCGAAATTTCTTTGTCTATCATTCCTATAATTATTATTATTAGAAGACACCAACCTTTCGGGTTTTCTTTCCAAGTAGGCGATCCGTCTCCGAAGTTCCTCCAACTCCCTCTCGGCAGTGCTCGTCCTGCTGTCTTGTAGCCTTGTCCCTGACGTAGATGGTCCTTCACTGACTCGCAGCATCTCTTGAGTGGCCTCTATCTTCTGTAAATTCTTCCTGAATTGTTCTAGGGTTCCATTTTCCATTAAATTTGCTTTTTCCAAAATTGTAGGCTTCAATCCTCGCATAATAAAGTTGACTATCTCGGCTTCCGGCATACCTGGGTTCACTTTGTAGCACAGTGTTAGAACATCGTTGTAGAAACACCAAAGATCCTCATCCGGCCTCTGCTTCTTATTCAAAAGTTTAAAATAATTCTGTTCGCTCTGTGCGGCACTTTTGAACGAATCAATTATTTTCTGCTGGGCAATCGCGAATTCGGTACACTGATTCTCGATTGTTTCGAAAAAGTCTAAGGCGGCACCTTCCAAAAAACAAGGTAACTGTACTAACTTGGTTTGATCCGACCAATGATTAGCTGTTGCTGCTCTATTGAAAATCTTGAAAAAATCTTGAACCTTCTCGCCCGCTTTACCGGCGAAAGTTTTAGGTGTAACCGAAGCATAAACTTCAGCCGCGTCTCCCATCTTGGTTTCTTCTCGTTTCGGCTTAGCTATAGTTTCTTCTTCGTCTTCTTGGAGTTCCTCGGATTCTACAAAAGTTTCTTCGTCTGACTCAGCCTCTGAATACCTGCTTTCTTCTGGTTCAGGGTTCGTACCTATTTCTTCCTTCACTTTCTCGTCTGCTTCGTGTTTTGCTTTAGTTTTCCTCAACCGCGTCAGCATTAATTACGATTTCCACTGCCCGTATTTCACTTCAACTCACCCACAATTTTTCATTTGATTTTCTTGGTTTTTCGATTTTTTTGTTATTTTTTATAGTTTTATTTACTCGGAATGCCCGGCATGCTCCACCAATTTGTGACGTAGGGGTATGGGGTCGTAGCTATGGTAGTTCAATAACTAGAGCAGTGTCGGCAAAAAGGGGTGTATTGGGGAGTTGACTGATAGATCTTACAAGTTATGTGGTAGCAGTACAACTGAATTGTTAATTATACAAAATGCATTCCCATTGCAATAAAATGATTGACGTGGGCTTGAGCTGCGTGGTCTCCCTCCGTGCCCCGCACGCTGAGAATCCTGCTGACTCAGGACAGCACACCGCCGTTGGTTGAGTGAAGGTGGAAGCATGTAGCAGGTACAGGGTGTTCTGCCTAGGAGGGCGCTCTCGCGACAATATTGACAGTCCCTATATCCCGATGAGTTTTGTCGGTTTTATCTCCAGACACCCTGTATGAGGACATATGTGAGAAAAGAAGAACAGATAATATAATCATGTAAGCATATACCAGAAAAAGTATAACATAATATGTCTTTCACATAAAAGGACCCTCGATAGCAAAACTTCTCAATACTGTAGACAAATTTTTATGAATAAATTTCATCTGCCGATAATAATTCCAGAGATATGAATACTCACAAGATATATAATAAGATTTTTGTGAGATTGAACTAACATATTTCTGAAAACACGTTTAAGCAAGACTAGCCAGCCAGAGCCTAATGGCGGATTGTGGAAGTAGAAGGGAATCTGATGTATATATGTATAGTTATTATAGTTATTTTTGTATCTTGTGCACGATATGCTCTTTTGGTGATCGAGAACTGGATATTTTAACGAGGCGCAGCCGAGTTAATAAAAAAGTCTAGATGACCAAAGTATTTTGCGCACGAGCTGCAAACAACATTTTTCTACCAAAGTCAGAAAACATAGTTCTAACTATTCTAAGGTAGTAATATGCTTAGTTTAATATAAAAAATAATGTTGAACTGGCTTATTTATCGTTAACCATTCAGGAAGGAATGATTTCTTGAAGGTTTTGTGCGATTTAGGACCATAAAGTTTTAATACAAAAATCTTTATAGTTTACATACAATGCGCGAAGTATATACATCGCACATCGTTTTACTTCGCGTACTCCTTCGCACATGGTGTCGTGGTGAAGTAGAAAATTGAAAAAATGTGTCAAATTGTTATCAATCCGTGAACCTGTATAATGAAAAAATTTACAATAATTTGAGTACATACCACTAGGTCTTGAAGCACGCCTTTGATCTTCTCAACAATAGTCATAATTAACGAATTCAATAATTCGCTGAGATTCTTTGAGGAATCATCTTGAGTTATTAGTTTTGGCGTTGTGAGTGTTTGTCTAACTTTAGTAATCATGTCAGCGAAATGCATTTTCAAAATTTGAAGATGTGCTTTGCATTGTTTTCTGCCGGCATTTATTACAATATCAGTTGCGTAACTGAAAACAAAAACGTTCTATCAATTATCAAGAGAATTGGATTTATTGTACATCAAATTTTCAAACCAATTTGATCAAAAAATGTAAATGAACAAGGGAAGAATTACCACAAATATTTCGAGAGAATAATTCTGATGTGTCACCAAAGGCTAAAAAGCACATTGAACGTTAAATTCTATTTTAATACATTTCCGAAGTGATTATAAGAGGCAAGTGGACTATTTATTTTTATTTATAAAAAAAGAATCATCACTCAACTACTTTTCTATTCCACATATTTTTAGATTTTTTCGGCCGATTTTACTATCATTACTATGCATGGGTACATTTTTGTAGGTCTCGTCGATTTTTTCTAGATATTCTACGACCATATCTATTGTAGCTAACCCATTTGTCCCTAATCCCCGCTGAATTGCCCATGGAAAATGTTTGGAAAGCATCTCCACCAATTTATTCTCAGGAATCTTCTGACAAAAACCCTGCTTGAGCTACCAATTTCATAAAATATCGACTCTACTCCCTGACTCATAACGACCATAAGTTAATTCCAAAAATGAATCCCGTTGCTTATCAACACTCCAATATTTTTTCCAAAAATGCGGTCTGAAAGTCTACGTAAGTTTGAAATGTACTTTCTTTCAAAAAATCCCAGTCCGCTGTCGAACCCCTTAGACACGCCACTGCCAAACCAATTTAGCGTTTATCATTAATTTTTTTAAAAAAAAGCATAGGATGAGTTTTAGAAGATTGATAAAATGTCAAAGGACTACCTCAAGTCTTTCCAATTCGAAATATTTTGATACTTGTCTTGAGCAACCATATTACGCTGAGAAGAACTTTTTGAAATACTTTATTGTGAGCTTGTTCAGATTCTTCATTTCTAGCTTGGATATCAAGTTAACATAAAAAATTTTCAATTCGGTTATCCCTACCGACAAATGTCAAACTACATCTACCAAATCTAACTCTGGCGGTTTTTCACCATCACCTTTACCCTTGTTGCTTTTACTAACTTCAAACATTCTTTTAGTTTACAGTTACAACTAGCAACATATAAATAAGAACTGAATAAAAATTCAAGATCGAAATTCACAAGGAAATCCCTCGATAAATTTCAAGTTCAAAACATCCGCTGGCTGCCCAACTGCTATCGTGTTAGCGGTCTTTCGAAATGGTCGAAACTACCTTCCGCTCGAACACCGGCTATCTGCTTACGCTGTTCCCCTCTTTGCCACTCGGAACTTGCAATTATTATTGGGAGTTCTCACAGGCAATTCCCGAATTTCACTTATAAACTACACCATCCATCGATGACAAAATTCACTGAATTCGTCCACTTTTTCAATTTAATAATTCATTTCACCCACATTGGCCACTGGTTGGGGCGTCAAATACACTGTTTCTCGTTGGCTAGCTCAGTAAGGTCACAGGTCGAGGGTCATTCTTGTGGGTAAAAACAGCTCAAGCAAGCGAAACTCTTCATTCTGAATCGACAATTTACAAATACTGAATGGTTACAAATGTATCCAACAAGGATTCAATTTACCGGGTTAAATGCAAGTATTTTATACTAAAAATGACGAAGGACTAGGACTACCCCCTTCGGCTACCTATCCGCTTATGAAACCGGAACTCGCGAATCACACAGTTCGTAGTGTGACAATTAAGTAATGAGACTGATTTTATTGACGCGCTTGTGGTAAACATGCGACCTTGAAATTATTTTTCCCTTCCCCGGCATCCTTCCCCTCTTCGTTGATATTTTTACCATCGATCAAGCTTGTTCAGTTCGCCTGCTGTATCTTGTTGAGTAGACGTGTGTTGGTGGTGCTGGTAACGAAAATAGAGAAACAAAATCAAGAGCAACGCGTCGCGATGAAATTTTGCGCAAGATTGGGCGAAACAGCTTCAGAAACGTACGCTAAAATTGTTAAAGTGAATGGTTATACCCATATAGCACTCGACGTTCAGGGGACGTCCATTTCAAGTCCTATTTAGATCTGAACGTCTGGAACCTTTCAAAGACGTACTGAAAACGTCATTTTCTGTACGTCTAGAAATATACTCTAGAAATATACTAACTCCCATATACTCCCAGTATATATGGAATGTATACAACAACTACTTGAAATGTGAAATGTGTTAAAGTGTAATGTACCTTATTTTGACCAAATAAATAGACTTCAAAGCACCTGCCCGGTAATCTGAAGGTCCTGGGATTGTTCCCCGGTAGGAGCGCATTTTTTTTAATTTTTCATTCAGAATAAGATCTTTTTTACTCTGTCTATATCTCTTTTTCTACTATCTGAGTAAAAGAAGGCGAATTTACGTTGATTCAGGTATTCATGGTCCTGAAAGGACGTACTGGGATTTTACAAATGTGGGGAATCTGGACGTCCCCAGTACGTACCTAGTACGACTACGGTCCTAATCTAAACGTCCCCAGTACATAGAAAACGTCTTGGCCGGACGTTCTCAGTACTTTTGGGGACGTACTGGTGCAATATGGGTAGTGATCTTAGTCGTGCCCAGGTGTTTCGATGGCATGATGAGAAACGAGTCAACAGAGTACGTCTAGACATCGCTCGTAACTGGATCCTTCGCGCCGTTTCATACCGCCCTCAGTGTGTCCCAATATTTGGCCGCTAAAGGAATCGCCGTCTTGCAACAGACGCCTTATTCGGCCGATATGTGAATTTTTTTCGTTCCCTAGAACAAAATCGGTGGTCAAAGGAACCCATTTTGGGTCGATTACGGACATCCAGGCGGCCGTGACGAGGATATTCTCGGACATCCCAGTCGTAGCGTTCCAGAAATGTTATGAAGCATGGAAAACGTGCTGGTATCGTTGCAAAGCTGCCCAAGGAGACTACTTCGAAGAGGATGGCAGAGTTGTAGAATAATTTTCAAATAAACGGTTTTAATGGAATCAGTTTCATTACATAATTGTCACACCATCTATGACTGAAAAAAAATCATTCAAATTTGAATGCAAGGTCTATAAAGTGCAATAATTTTCAATATAGATCGAAACCGATATATCCTCAAATTTTTATAATTTTTTCTAACTTCAACCCATCTCGTAAGTAAATTGCTACGCTACCCCCTTGTTTATCATCACGGCAATGATGAATACTTGAAAAGTTGAATATTGCAATAATTATTTTGTCCCTTCAAAATTCTGCCATTCAATGAAAACCAGCCTAGAAGACCTCAGTTCAGACAATTTGAATGAATAATATTTTCCAATTGTTTTTGGTGTCATATCTTCCTGTCGTTTTATGTCTTCTGTAGTATTCGATTTCAAAATTATTTCTCCTCTCTCAATTCCTTCAACTGGATTTATTATAGCTCGAATATTTTCTTTGGTTTTGGTATTTGTTTGTATAACTTTAGGTTTTAAAGAGGGATGTTGAGGGGAATATCAGTTTTTTTCTAATTTTCTTCAAGTATATCAGCATATGATGGTATTCCAACATGTTTCATATTATTTAATTCATTTGTTAAGGTAGGTATCCATTTTATCCTTCAGGGAATTAATTTCTTTCAATATATATCCCCTTTCATTCCTCTCCATTATCATTTTGTTGTATTCTATAGACAATAAATTCAACTGACTACTAAGTGTGTTCTGAGTATTCTTTCATTCTTTGAAATAATTTGAACTTTAGATTTCAATAGTTCTTTCAAGAGATCATTTCCCCTGCTCAAATATATCGATGCATTTATTTTATTCTCATTTTGTTCTGGCTGTTTGGAAATTTCATTAGGTTTAATAAATAAATCTGGGGACAATGTTCATATTTCACTGGAACCATCATTCTTTTACATAGTCTATATTTGAGTGCGTTGAAAATCATCATTGGAAAATAGATCACTTTTTTTTTAGAGATTTTTAGAGACATTTCAAAATGGATGAATTTCTTCCTTGTATTACAAGATCTCTTGGCAAACTAGCTTTGCTAATATTCAGGTACTTTTCTTGAACAGTTTGACAACACTGATTTTACTAAACAAACAATTACAATGAAACTATGTCACATTTGTGATATTTTCTTTTACAAAATTCATCCGCATCCCAAGAAATAATATTTATGCTTCAAGTTTTGTTAAATGAAATAATTCAGTTGATTTTGTAATGCCACTGGCAGATTTGAAAACTACCCCACAAAGACGATCAACTATCAAAAAAAGTTGCCAATTTAATACAAATTCTGAAATGGTATAACGTATGGGGCTATTCAAAACAGCCTTATTGTTATTAATTTTCTTTTTCAAATAGGTCGCGTTCTTTAAGAAAATTGGATAACTTTTGAACAATCAACAATTGAATAACCACATAAACGGTTAGTTTGATTGGAAATGACCCCCCCCCCTCCTATCACCCCACCTCATTCGGTCCATGACTAATGGGACACCCTGTATAATGGGATAGTAGTTGATGTTTATCAGGTAGTTACTGTCGGTAGCAAAATCAATCGATTCGAATCGTCGGTTATCTCGTTAATCAGTGAATCCTCTACGAAATAGCTCTATTGATGTACAACATTTATATTGAACCTTTTATCTTCCATAATTATTCATCCGGAACATCCCTCTCTTATATTATGATGATTCAATAAATGTATTTATATTTTTCATTTATTTCACTACTTCCAGTACACCTTGAACTATACTTTGAGGTATATTCAACAGAAAACAACTACTTTCCTGGCTATATGCCATGAGGAGCATTGAATTACATCTATTGAACACACAATAAAAATCTGAAAATAAAATCTTCTGAAGTTGAGAATTTGCAATATTCTTCAGATAAAGATATACAATGCACATAATATCATTCTGAATATTCAACAGGAAACAACTACTTTCCTTGCTATTTGCCACGTCGAACATCGAATTATATATGTTGAACATTCAGAAGGAGAACATGAAAATTTGAATCCTCTGAAATTGAGAATTGACATTCTCTTTCAAATCAGATACAACATGCCATTCAT